AAGCATTGCAACAATTTTCTTTATTGGTTTCCCTGCCTTGTCAAGTTTCTGCAGATAATCTTTTCAGAACACTTCAAAATGAATGACTCCTTTCTTCCCCTGTATCCAAGACTTCACATTTCTCAAGTGGTGGCTTTATTGAGGCAATTACTTTAGCTACCGGTAAATTTGCAGATGCCATTTAAATTTTTATTACTTGTATTCAAAATCCTTCATACCTCAGTTCCTTCAAATGTGTGTAATATGGTTTGAGCATATCTTGCCTCTCATCACACCCCGTGTCTTAAAAATCTTCTTTTCCTTCAGTTATTTTTAGATTCATGGCTGCAAGGCTCTGTTGGGCTTGGTTTTCATCTGGTACAGCACTGTGAAAGCTACTTTATAAATCAATAAGTGGCAATATTTTATAATATAATAAGCTTGTATCTTTGATTATTCATTTAATCTCTTTCATGTTTAATGTTTACTTCATATACAACCCTCTCCCCATTAAATAGTTATGCCATCTTAGCCATATATGTAGGACCTGTTCCAAGTCCTATTTAGATAAATGAATTTTAATAGGCTTTGAATCTAGTTAAGGGGTGGCCAACCTGCAGCTCATGAAGCTGTCCCTTGCGCCTCTATAAATGGACCCACCAGCTCCCCCCCCCCTTTTTTTTGGTCAACAATTCTGAGGCAGCTCTTCGCATTTTTTCTACCGCTGTTTCGGCGCTCTTCGTTTAATGGGTTGGCCTTATATCCCATGTTTGACCTCTGCTACCGAGACATAATGCATATTGACTTCTATTGGAGGTGCAGTCATAGTGTATTTTAGGGTAAAATTGGCCCATAGAGTTTTGCAGAAAAAGGCTACAAAAGCTATTAGTGATATGGACCATCTTCAATATGAGAAGAGATTAAGAAGACTGAGACGTTCCAACTAAGGGGGGATATGATAGAGGTCCATAACATTATGAACGGTATGGAGGCAATGAAGCATTATTTATCCCTTCACATAACACAAGAAACAAGGATCAACTTGTGAAATTAACAGGCATCAAGTTTATAATAAACAAAAGGAAGAATGTCTTCACCCAATGCCCAGTCAATGTGCACAGTCAAAATGTCAATCGCACTTTGCTGTGCGATATTGTGAAGGTCCAAAAGTATGACTGGGTTCAAAATAATCAGCTGTTCATGGACGAGAGGTTCATCAATGACTATGAGCCATGATGATCAGGGACACAACTCCATGCTTTGCATATCCCTAAACATCCAACTGCCAGAAGCTGGGACTTGAAATTGTCCTGTATTGTTCTTTCTCTCTCAAGGATCTGGCTCTGGCCAATGTTGGTAGATAGACCATTGGCCTGACCCAGGATGACTGCTCTTATGTTCTAATGAGAGCATCACACAGAGAGTCTTTTCCTTCTCAGGCAATTAAGACATTGAGACCTGTTAGGAAAGTCCAGGTTGAACCTCTCTAGTTCAGAACTCTCTACTCTGGAAACATTCATTGTCCAGAATTATTTCAGGTAGCCAGATGTCCGTTTCAGAACTCTCTACTCTGGAAACATTCATTGTCCAGAATTATTTGAGGTAGCCGGATGTCCGCTTTTCACAGGTGTGGCCAAGTTTCCCACGGTCCCATAAAGTTTGTTTACAACCACCAGTCCCAGCTCCGTGTTCTATGCTGTTATTTAGCTCTCATTTACCTCTAACAGCCCCAAAAGCAGTGGAAGAGTTGGTAATGCTGCTAGATAATATTGACCTCCCATCGTCTGGAAAATTCTCTGGTTCGGAACCGGTCAGTTCCCGAGGGTGCCGGACTAGAGAGGATCAACCTGTACTAACTTTCTCAACCCACTTACACACATATACACATCTGCAAGGTATTTAGCAGTGAAATCCAGCAGTGAAAGTAATTTTAAAATCTTATTTAAAAATCTTCCTGGTACAGGGGCCACAGGCCCCTAGTAGAGTTGGGGCAGGGCTGGGCCAGCTTCTCCCAGACAGCCCTTCGGTGCTGTATAGCACATGCCACCTGGAGCTCCAGCAGCTATTTAAAGGACGTGGAGCTCAGGTTGCTGCTGTGGTAATGGGGAGTCTGTTGGGCCCTTTTAAATCACTGTCCCATCCCATGGCAGCTGCCCCTCTCCTCCCCATCAGTGACCTTGCTCCCCCACCTCCTCATTGGCTGCCGAAGAGAAGGCAAATGGAGCAGTGAACTTTCCATCGGCCCTTTTAAATCACTGTCCCATCCCACGGCTGCCCCTCTCCGCCCCATCAGTGACCTTGCTCCCTCACCTCCTCATTGGCTGCCCTAGAGAAGGCAAAATGAGCAGTGAACTTTCCATTCCTTTCAATTCCAAAATGAGCAGCAGCATTTTCAATTTCTTTCTTGGTTGGTTGCTTTCCCTCTGGCTGTAACGTGTGCCAGGAAAGTAGGCAAATTGCCCCACGGCAGCCAGTCATAAGCCTTGTCCCTGAGGGCACTCTATTTTCAAAAGAGGATATGCAAATTTTGTAGGAATTTGCATATCTTCTTCTGATCTCACTTTCAAAAGTGGATCTTTCGAAAGTGAAAGTAGTCTGAGTTTTTTTCAGAAAAAACCCTTTTTCGAAAAAAAGCGCTCTTCCTTTAAAAATGAGGTTTATGTGGGGTTTTTTTCGAAAATGGGTTTTATTCCTGGAAAAAACCACATCCAGACTACTTTCGCTTTTGAAAGCTCTGCTTTTGAAAGTGAGATCAGAAGAAGATATGCAAATTTCCGCGGAATTTGCATATCCTCTTTCGAAAATTCTACGTAGCCTAGACATAGCATCACCAAACATTCAGCGGACAGATCTCTCTGTCTTTTCTTTCTAAGGGGCACTTTTGTTACTTTGAATGTAAATTTAGAGGCATTTCCTCCAAACTATGTGAGACACACAAAAACAGATTGCATATGCTGATGGACGGGAAGGATAACTTTCAAGTGTGTCAGTTAAGGAAGTGGATAGAGGGGGTTGTACTCTTCCATCAACGCAGGATGCTCGCTTTTCCTTAAAGAATGACTGCTACTTTCAAAAACACCTTGGACCAACTCTGCAGACCATTGTATGAGACTTACAGGTTTATAACATTCGCGTTCTTGTAAACATGCGGGCTTGAATAATAAAGGACCAATGCAGTTAGTGAAAAAATGTTGGAATCTCTATGTGTGCAATTTGTCTTTTACTAAGTGCAATGCCAATTCATTTTTTGACTGCAAGACATCCTTATGCAATAAGGAAGCCAGCGACAATTTACGTGAGATATTCCAGGACCAAGTGAGTGGAATGTCTTGTATTTAAAATTTAAGTCCAGTACAGTGCAGTCAGGGTTCAGATCTCTATTTGATGAATTAGCTTTGCTTATAACTATCAACTGCATAATGTCTGATGTCATAAAAGTTGTGCAAGAGACAGGCGCTAGTTCAGAGAAGTGTTTGTCTTACGTTTCAGCATGTTGAAATCAGCTAAGGGGAAAATTTGGTCCTTGATTTCCTGTAATCAGTTGTGTATGGGATTCACTGAGGCTCACCAAGACTGACCTTTGACCAAGGCTAACCCAGGAGGGAGTTTCTGAAAAAGAGGGGTTGGCAGGTATACCACATAGCTATTAAGACCCAGGACTAATTTATGTGTTTTCCATTTTGCCACAAAAATCACATTTCTCACATACCTGGTGCATGTAAAAACAAACCAACCATGTGTGTACCTAGGATGTCCAACAACCTCCTCCCAGTTGCCAATGTTAATGTTCAGGCTGTTGCTGTAGGTGCAAACGACACTTACACACAGCAGCCCTTACTCTCAGAGCTAGTACATTGCCCACTGTATGTTGATTAAAACTTTCTCTTGCACAATAAGCAAGAATCCCCAAGGCAACTCTCGAACCAGAGTTTCCTGCGTGGGAGGGCTGTGCACAGCCAACTGATACTGATAGAGTCTCATTTTATTTTATGATTATAATTATATGTATTTATTATGTACATGAAATAGCACCTCAATAGCAATCAGAGCCCCTAGTTCTAAGTGCATTCTGTAGCTGAGATATGAGTTAAGAACAGACTTCACATTTTTTGTTAAAGCTAATGTTAAAACGATCAAATACAGTACAGTACACAGGTTAAGGAAAGAGTATAATGCTTAAATTATCCCCAAATACAAAGTTTAGTTTAGAAGTCATAAAATACAGGCAGTACATAATCTACAGTATCCCAAATTTAGGTGAATATATTTAATGATACAGTTTAGATATTAGCATCCAACTATCAGGATACATTCCTCATAAAACATTATACTAAAGGTAGCTTATGCAAAGTAAATATAGCAATGAGTGAGGATTGTCCCTCAGTAATTACAATCCATCAGAGAAGTATTTCAATGATTGTTCTGACCTCAGGTCTCACTGGCACTCCCGTTCATCTGTCCTCGTATGGCCAGCGTTCAGTGATATGTTCTAAATAGATATCCTGTGACCACTTGATGGCGTCCGACACCGTGAGCTGCTGAAATACAAGAGACAACCCTGAAGCTCTCTCTGAAATTCTGTTATTTTACAGTGTAAATTACTCTGATTTGGTTTACTTTTTTAAAACCTTATGGGGAAGTTTATGAGAGAGAATGAGAGAGAGAGAGACAGAGACAGAGACAGACAGTGTGTGTGTGTGTGGAGGGAAAGGAGCAAAGAACATTTTCCTCCTGGTCTGGTAGCACTTTATAGACTAACAAAACATGTAGATGGGATCATGAGCTTTCGTGGGCACAACCCACTTCGTCAGATGACCGGAGTTTTGAGTTTAGGTCATCTGAAGAAGTGGGCTGTGCCCACGAAAGTTCATGATCCCATCGACACGTTTTGTTAGTCTATAAAGTGCTACCAGACCATTTGTTGTTTTTTAAGTTTATCCTGTACAGACTAACTCGGCTACCTCCTGAATTTTCTTTCTGGTTGTCTTTGTTACTAATGTCAGCTACTCATTTTTCTTTAGGAAGAAGCTGCCTTCCCAGGACGACAGCCTAGAGGATTTAATCGTGCCATCCCCACTTGAGTCTCCAGACAGAGCCTCACCTGGCGAGAGAAAAGAGTGAGTTGGGTATCCTGCGAGAATGAGAGGTCCAGTTTCATGAATCGGTGTAGTCAGGGCTTTTTTTGTGACGGCACTGCCTCATACTCAGTACCGGCACCTCCAGCCGCAGTACTAGCACCGCCAGTCAGAGCTCAACAACTTTTCTCTGGAGTACCGGCACCTTTTTTTTTTTTAAAACAAAAAAAGCACTGGGTGTAGTTATTAGGATTTTATATGTTGGTGCATAGATACAAAAGTGACTGGTGCCTAAGAAATACCTAACATACAACAGAGAAATGGATAGATGGATGGCTATCTGGGATTTCATGCGGTGTAAATGAGTGGGGGGGGGGTTTCACATGAGTTACAGCACTCGTGTTGAACCCCTGGGTGCTGTGAAGGACTCGGTGCAGGGCCAGTCCTAACCAATTGGCGGCCCCAGGCACCTGCAGGGTTGCCAGGTGTCTTTAAAAAAATAGGAGTAACCAGGGAGACCTGGGGGGAGGATCTAAGGGTTGGGGAGTAACCAGGGAGACCTGGGGAGAGGATCGGGGAGGTCAGGCCGAAATGCGGTTGCGGCGCTCCCCTAAGACCGGCTCTGACTGGGTGAAAGGGTTTGCTCCCCGCTCCTTCCGCACAAGGGCCTCAGCTGGAGTACTGAGGTCAGTTTTGTGTCTGTGCCACATTTTAAGAAAGGCGTAGACAGACTGGAGACAATTCAGAGGAGAGCCACAAAAATATTAAACGATTTAGAAAATGTGATCTACTAGGAAAGGGTAACATGTGGGCATATTTAGTCTTGAGAAAAGAAGACTCACGAGGGACCCGGTAACTCCTCAGATACCTTAAGGGCTATTACAAAGAGGATAGTGATCAGTGGTTCTCCATGTCCACAGAAGGTAGGACAAGAAATAACCAGCTTAATCTGCAGCTCGAGAGATTTAGGTTAGATCAGCAGTCCTCAAACTGTGGGTCAGGACCCCAAAGTGATCCTCATTTTATTAGGGTCATCTGGGCTGGCTTAGAGCTGCGGGGGCTGGAGCCAAAGCTGGAGTCCCAGACCCAGCACCTGGGGCTGGGTGGCAGGACTAGGTTACAGGCCCCCTGACCGGGGTGCTGGGGATCAGGCTCTGGTCCTTCCTTCTGGGGTAATGCAGTAATTTGTGTTGTCAGAAGGGGGTCATGGCACAATGCAGTTTGAGAACCTCTGGTTAGATATTAGGAGAAACTTCTATCGGTCAGTATAGTTACATAGCAGAATGAGTTACCATGACGTAGGTGGTAGAATCCCTGTCACTGGAGAATTTTAAGAGGAGATTAGATAACTACCTGGTATGGATGGTCTAAAGGTAAATTTGATGGGGGGGGGGTCTATGATCTCTTGAGGTCCCTTCCAGCTCTGTGATTCTCTGATTGATGGTAATCCATGTTGTCACACTTGACCGTGTACAATTATATACACCGTGATGGTTTTTCTGCAGCTCGCCAGAGCGAGCAGGGTCATCAGCAAGCCAGAACAGTACAGTCATCAATGACCGGCTGCAGGAGCTTGTGAGGCTCTTTAAAGAAAGGACTGAGAAAGTGAAAGAGAAACTGATTGATCCAGATGTTACTTCTGATGATGATGACGACACCCCTGTGGCATGTGAGTTACAGCTGGGTGCAGGGCCTCTCTATAGACAGGCAGAGTGCTGGGCAAGAGGTAGAAGTTATGGAGCCGGAGGAACTGGCTTCATAAAAGCCCAAGCAATAAAAATTATTATTTGGTTTTGTAACCTGGAAACTCAACAACATACCTGCCTTTCAAGAAAAATGAAAGGGGACATGAAACAACACAGAATTCTTGAGTAGAAGTGTGTGGACATGAGCAGCCCTCTTAAAGTGGTGTTCAAATCTATTGTAAGGTCCTCGGTGATTTTAGACTAATTCCTTATGCAAAAAAAAAAAAAAAAAAAAGGCACATTGCACACAAACAAAAGTAATGAGCAGCCCTCTTAAAGTGGTGTTCAAATCTATTGTAAGGTCCTCGGTGATTTTAGACTAATTCCTTATGCAAAAAAAAAAAAAAAAAAAAAAGGCACATTGCACACAAACAAAAACCACAGCGATCTTTTACCTAATAAAAAGGGAGGGAGGAAGGTCTTCTGCCTAAGGCAAAAGGCAGGGATTTAGGAGAATTGGGATCTATTCCATACTCTGCTGGAATTGTGTGACCTTGGGCAATTGAGGTTAATATCTTTGTTCCTCAGCTGTTTCATCTGTGAAATGGAAAACTTACAATTCCATACTACAACAGAGTGTTATGAGGGTAACTATACTGATAGTTGGACAATGCTTTGAAAATGTACAGCTGTATAAATGAAGAATATTATACTATTATACTATGACTAATTACGAAGGACACAGGAGTTAACTGGCACAAATCCTGTGCAGATACTCAGACTCCTGAGGTGCATCTACACTGCACCGTAGCTCGAAATAAGATACGCAACTTGAGCTACGCAAATTGGGTATCTTATTTCAATCTTATTTTGCAATAGCTTATTTTGTAATTTGGCACTGTCTACACAGCACCAAATTTTGAAATAACCTGCTATTCTGAAATGTCCCTTACTCCTCATGGAATGAGGTTTACAGGGACGTCGGAATAGTGAGCCTGTTATATTTCGAAATAATGGGCTTGCTGTGAAGACACAAGATAGCGATTTCAGGATTCTCCAGTGTCCTGAAATAGCATTGCAATGTAAACATAGCCCAAGACATAGTCTAAGATGGATGACAGGAGAGGGATCATGTGATGATTACCTGTTGTGTTCACTCCCTTTGGGCTACTGTCGGCAGACAGGATATTGGGCTAGATGGACCTTTGACTGACCTGTTATGGCCGTTCATATGCTCTTATGTTCTAAGAGAGGCCAATCGGTGAAGAGATAGTGAAAGTCATGAACATTAACAAAACTCTTAGGGTATGTCTACACTGCCATCCTAGTTCAAACTAGGGTGGCTAATGTAGGCATTCGAAGTTGCAAATGAAGCCCGAGATTTAAATATCCCGTGCTTTATTTGCATGTTTCCGGGTGCCTCCATTTTTAAATGCCCCGTAGTTCGAACTCCCTCCTTGCAGGAGGCATAACGGTAGTTCAAATTAGGAGCTTTAATTCGAACTACCTAGTCCGTGCCGCCTGTAGCCGCGGGCAGGGAGTTCGAACTACGGGGCATTTAAAAATGGCGGCGCCCGGGAACATGCGAATAAAACCTGGGATATTTAAATCCCGGGCTTCGTTTGGAAGTTTGAATGCCTACATTAGCCAACCTAGTTCGAACAAGGGTGGCGGTGTAGACACACTCTTAGCTAGTAATGCAGACTGTTTTTTTGTGAAGTGGCTATTTTTAATAAGAGAAAAAATTAAAGGCCACGCACAAACTCGAGAACTTCAGCCTGTCAGAGAAGTGTGCACTGCTCTCAATAATTCTATGAATGTTCATAGCTCCTTCCAAGAAAACCTCTCAAGAACCACCACCAGCGGAAGAAAAAGCAACTGACGCTGCGAAAGCTGAAGTGGAAGAACATTACTGTGAGATGCTGTGCTGCAAATTCAAACGCCGCCCCTGGTTAGACCGTGTAAAAAATTACCGGTTCCCAAGCAGTATAGACCCTCTCACCAGTAAGTAATTGAAAAAGATTATTGTTTGAGATAATGCTACTGCTCCATTTATGAGAAAAGGATGGTACAAGATGAAATGGAATGGAACGAAAGGAGGAGAAAGAAAAGAGAGAGTGGAAAGGACATCGGAAGCGAAGAGTGATTTAGCTCTTGTCTATGACTGATTTTTTTCATTTAGAAGAGCAGAGGGAAGAGAGACATTCTTTTAGGTACTCTGCCTGGCCCCTTTCTTAACCATCTGGTTCATTCAGAGTCAGCTCTTTTCAAAAGCCAGCAGCTATTTCACTGTAGTCTCAAAGTGCAAGGAAGAAGGGAAAAAAGGGAATATATTCTGGAAGCAGAGCAAAGGCAGCTTAACATAAAGTGCTTGAAATTTAGGAAGTTTTGTTCCCTTTAATTTTTAGCATCTTCTGTTCATCCTTACTATCAACCCTGTTGATAATATGTGGTTATTCCCTGTCAACTGCTCACTAATTTTGACCTGTGCTTCCCTCTGCTTAGATTTGATGTATGTGCTGTGGCTGTTCTTTGTTGTTCTGGCCTGGAATTGGAACTGCTGGCTAATTCCAGTACGCTGCACCTTTCGATACCAGACACCTGAAAATCTCCATTCCTGGCTAATTGTAGACTATCTCTGTGACCTCATCTACTTTCTGGACATCATTGTCTTTCAGGTCCGCCTGCAGTTTGTTCAAGGAGGCGACATAATTGTAAGTGGCAGCTAGTTGCGCTTCCCTCTTGAGGCAAAGTTTCAAACAGGACGTTCACTTGCTTTGAGTACCTCCTCCTCTGAAGTCCATAGAAAAGTGTTGTGGGGTGGTTTTTTTTGCAAATGTCGGAGGTTAAAATATAACAAAAAGGCAGCTCTTCGACTACATCCCTTATTTATTTAGTTGGCCCTGAGTGAATTTTTTTTACTCATCAGTACAGAGCTACTCCGCAAGGCACAGAGATATCCACAGATAAGCTAGTGCTGTTCAGCATCATGGTATATTTAAATGTTCCCCTTCCCCAACCAAGCTTCTGTGAAAAGCCTTCATCCTCTATTACCTGTAGTTAGGGTTGCCAAATGGTTTAACAAAACATATCAAACCCTCTCCCCCCAAAAAGGGGAAAAAATTCTGTTGAGGAAAAAAAAGCACAGCAAAAAAAAAAAAAAAAAAAAGAAACTGACCGGAGCCGAAATATGGGCCTTTAATTCCTGGCCCACTCCATTCTCCTCCCTCCCCAGCCAGCCCGAGCTGCGCTGCATGTTCCTACCATCTGATCTGGGAAAAACAGAAAATACCAGGCATTTTACGTGTCCGGTATTTTCTGAATTTTTTTTACTGGACGGAAGGCGCAAATACCAGGCTGTCCGATTCAATACCGGACACTTGGCAACCCTAGCTGAGGGCTGAAAGCACCATACATTCTCTTGTTGTTTTTTCTCAAGTGCACCTAACCAAAATTAACTGCCAGTAATAATATGATGAAAGTGATAACAAAACCGGTTTGGATTGTGCGCTTGAGATGCAGAATGAAGTTGATAGGTTTGATTTACTTCCTATATTCAACTAAATGAGCTGTGCTAAACAGTATCTAACAGCTATATTCTTCCTATTACATATAAAAATTACAAAAGCAGAGGTTTTGCCTGTAAAGATCTGTGGCTTTAGGGGTCCTGACATCATGCTGTAGCAGTCCTTCAGAATTCGAATGCTGGTCATGGAACAGAATGGGAAGAAATGACTGAGAAAACCATGCACAGGGCTGACAGCCTAGGAACAGGCAGAATGAAACTTGCAGATCTATGCAAGTGCAGTAGTACTGCTACTGGGCCACAGCATGCAGAGGACTGCCTGTATTCTAGTGCCTGCTGTGCTGCCGTCCTCTCATTTCATCTAGCAGTGCACTAGTGAGTCTACCGATGGGAGACACAGGGCGCATAGTGAAATTATCCACTGTGCAGAGAAGCTATGCAAGAGGCTTTTGGAATTGCAATTTACTCCATGTCCTGAGAAGAATGTGTCTCAACACCTCTGCCCTCCTTCTTATCAATAAACTAGGGAAATGCAACCTAAATGGGGCTACTCTGAGGTGGGTGCATAACTGGCTGGACAACCGTTCTCAGAGAGTAGTTATTAACGGTTCACAATCATGCTGGAAGGGCATAACAAGTAGGGTTCGCAGTTTTGGGACCGGTTCCATTCAATACAGATTTAGATAATGGCATAGAGAGGATGCTTATTAAGTTTGTAGATGATACCACGCTGAGAGGGGTTGCAAGTGCTTTGGAGGATAGGGTCATCATTATTCAAAATGATCTGGACAAACTGGAGAAATGGTGAACAGGATGAAGTTTAATAAATGCAAAATACTCCACTTAGGAAGGAACAGTTTCACACTTACAGAATGACTAGTGATTGTCTAGGAAGGAGTATTGCAGAAAGGGATTTAGGGGTCATGGTGGACGACAAGTTAAACATGAATCAACAGCGTGACGCTGTTGCAAAAAAGCAAACATGATTCTGGGATGCATTAACAGGAGTGCTGTGAGCACGACACACTCTTCCGCTCTACTCTGCACTGATTAGGCCTCAGTTGGAGAATTGTGTCCAGTTCTGGACACCACATTTCAAGAAAGATGTGGAGAAATTGGAGAAGGTCCAGAGAAGAGCAACAAAAATGATGAAAGGTCTAGAGAACATGACCTATGAGGGAAGACTGAAAGAACTGGGCTTGTTTAGTTTAGAAAAAGGAAAACTGAGAGGGGACATGATAGCGGTTTTCAAGTATCTAAAGGAGTTACAAGGAGGAGGGAGAAAAATTGTTCTCCATGGCCTCTGAGGATAGGACAAGAAGCAATGGGCTTAAATTGCAGCATGGGAGGTTTAGGTTGGACATTAGGAAAAACTTCCTGTCAGGGTGGCTAAGCACTGGAATAAATTGCCTAGGGGGGTTGTGGAATCTCCATCACTGGAGATATTTAAGAGCAGGTTAGACAGACACCTGTCAGGGATGACCTAACAGTGCTTGGTCCTGCCGTGAGGGCAGGGGACTGGACTCAATGATCTCTCAAGGTCCCTTCCAGTTCTAGGAGTCTATGATTCTATTAAGCCACGTTCCCATGCTTTCCTCATACACAAGATCTAGCATATTCACTGCGAAGAGGTCATAGCAGTATGGTGTATGTGGGGGGAGGGGATGTCATTTCCCTCTGCCCCTCTTTCCCATCCAAATTCTTTTCCCATGCAATTAGGACTTTTCTTCTCCTCTGTGTCTATATAATGGAAGGAAGTATCTGATTATTTGTGTAGATGCCGTCCTCTCTGCCTTTTCAATCAGGTTCAGGGCAGTAAACCTCACTGCCAACCAGTGATATTTCTCTCTGTTTCCTGTTCTCATCTAGACTGATAAAAAGGCCATGCGGCAGAACTACCTGAAATCCCGACGCTTCAAGGTCTGACACATTTTATTTGATGTTTATGTGTATTTATTATTATTTAATGGACATTTTGAAATCCATATCCTCCTGTTAATAGTCACACCTCTGAATAGGTGCAATAGTTACCTTGACAGAGGTAGGCCACGTTTGGGATGGCCCAGGCTGACTATGAAAGGAACGGGAAGGAGGCGAGGAGCCTTTCCTCATCTCCTCGGTGTGTGTATGGACAAGGGCTAGCCATATATAATTGGGGATCACAGGTGCTTTGGCAGCAGTAGCCTCCTCAAACAGGGCCAGGAAGAATAGTGCTAACTGGAGGTGAGCATGAGAGCATGCTGCAGCAATTTAAGGATGGTTGAGTTCCTGTTGCAGTGTTGGCTTCACCAGTGCCCCGGTTGTTACGGGCACAAGTTTATGGAAGATTGTTCATAATTATGTCCATAGAGCATGAATTTTATTTCCATTGGCCTACCCTACTGCTCCCCTGAATACCCGCTATTGATTTCAATGGAAGTTGCTTACTAAATGAAGTCAGCACTGGGTCCCTCCAGAATACCCTTGCCTGAGTATTGGTAGAAGGAAAAGAGCTCATGATCATTTCGATTCACCACCATGTTTTCTGTTATGGTCTGACACGTGAGCTTTAGATGGATGTGATCTGCCTTCTTCCTCTGGATTTCTTTTACTTCCAAGTTGGTGTAAATTCTCTCTTGCGTTTGCCTAGATGCCTAAAGGTAAGTCAGGAGGGTACAAAAACAAGGGGGTGGGGGAGAGACACCTACATTCTTAATTAATGTAACAGAATCTTGTACTGTTTATGATTACAGTTTATGACTGTTTATGTCTGTAGAAATAGATTAAGTGTAGGTGACAGTACATGGGGGCAGGGAAGAAAAGAGGTTTATCTGTTTGAAGATATTAAAAGTTGCCTACATTTTATCTGTCATTAGGAGCATCACAATTTATTTTATTTAGTGGGGAAGGAACTGTCAGAGTTCATACTAAGGGTCTGATCCTGTTTCTATACAAGATAATGGAAGTTTTGCCATTGATTCCAGTTGCAACAGGAATGAATTCCATATCATAGGCTACGTCTAGACTGTCGACAGAGGGATGCAAATCAAGCACGTTGAAATTGATAATGAAGCTGAGATTTAAATATACCGCAGCTTATTAGCATAAACATGGCTGCCGCTTTTTTTCGAAATTGAGTTTTTTTGAAAAAATGGCAGTCTAGACACGGATCTGTCAAAAATAAAGCCTTTTTCAACAGATCCTGTATTCCTCAAATAATTAGGTTTACCGGATCTGTCAAAAAAGTCTTTGTTTTCGACAGATCTGCGTCTAGACAGCCATTTTTTTCCTGAAAAAAACTCCTTTTTGAAAAAAGGCGGCAGCCATGTTTATGCTAATGAGATGCAGGATATTTAAATCCCAGCTTCATTAGCAATTTTGACGTGCCTAATCTACATCTCTCTGTCATCAGAGAGGTATAGTCTAGACACACCCACTGGGTTATAAATTTTCCTTATTGCTAGAATGAGATCTGATATAAACAGAGAAAAATTTTCAAGCAATTGAGGTTTTAAATGACAGTAAAATAATGCTTTAAAATTTGAGGGCAGCAACAAGAGTGCACATGAAAGTTACTTCCAGCTGGAAGATTTGATGGATGGATGGAGTCACTAGTCTCAGTATGGTCCCTGAGGACATGTCTACACTAGGAAACTATTTTGAAATAACTAAAATTGATTTAATAACTCCCAAAATAACACAATCGAAATAGCATGTCCACACTACGGGGAAGCCTCGAAATTATTCCAAGTCAGGCTCCATTAATGTGGATGTGCAACCTCAACCTAGAGCCGCAGGAAGCACTGGAGGAGTAATAAGTTTGAATTACCCTGTGGAGTAGTTATTTCAAAATAACAGCACTGGAGTGTCCACACTACCACTATTTCGAAATAACTATTTTTAAATTAGTGTTATTCCTCGAGGAAAGCAGGAGTACAGTTTTCTAAATAAGTGGCCTGTTATTTCGAAATAACGGGCTTGGTACAGTGGGCGCTCCGCTTATTAATTCAACTTAAAGGGGATTATTTTGAAATAAAGCCTTAGTCTAGACCAGGGCTAATGGACCAACAATAATAATTTATTTTATAATTATGTGGTAAAAAATGAGAGCAGATGCAATTGTTCAGTAATATTGCACTGTCACACTTTTGTATTTTTATGTCTAATTTTGTTAGCAAGGAGTTTTTAAGGGAGGTGAAACTTGGGGTAGGTGAAGCAAATCAGACTCCTGAAAGGAGTACAGTTGTCTGGAAAGCTGAGAGCCACTGAGTTAAAAGTTTTTCATTCAAGCCCTGTTGAAAACTAGTTGTCAGCTGTGAATGATGGAAAGTTAATGCACATGTATCATTCTCTTTAATAGTACATGGCTTTCTTTGAGTTTAATAACCGGCTTGAAGCTATCCTGAGCAAGGCATATGTTTACAGGTGAGACAAACTACACATCCATTTCTATTTCGGAGGGAGATATGTTTGGATTGATCTTTTATTGGAGGGGAAAGAGGTGCAATTTGGTGGAGATGTAGTTCCTCTTTGTCCGCCTAGGTGAATAAATCATTATCACTGTAGTGATTTCTGCTGTGGCTGAAAATGTCTCCTGGCAGGCTGACCCTAATAGCACATCAGAAGATGTCACGTTTTCAGGTCGTCTTAGCCAAGAAGCGAGAGCTTCTTTTTCAGTCATTCTTAAGTCTTATCTTCTGCATTATTACCTAGAGGGCACTGCTTCCAGGATATGTCCCCTCCACTACGTGAAAGATGACTATAGAAAAATGAAGCCTCAGGGAGTAGCCAAATTTGTCTGTACATGATAAACTTAAAAAAACAACAAATAGTCTGGTAGCACTTTTAAGACTAACAAAACATGTAGATGGGATCATGAGCTTTCATGGGCACAGCCCACTTCTTCAGATGATCACGAAAGCTCATGATCCCATCTACATGTTTTGTTAGTCTTTAAAGTGTTACCAGACTATTCTTTTTTTTTTAAGTTGATAGAAAAATGGTCTTTGTTAATAATAGCATTTGGTCAATAACCTCTTCCTAGTTCAAGCTCCATGTAATAAATGCTGTCAACGCTATTCGAGATGATCCTTTTGTTTCCAAACAATTTGGTGCTGGAGTGATAGGGATAAATAGAGTAAAGCAGCAGGTAAAAATACACTTACCCCAGAGAAACTCTCCAAAGCGTTGTACAGAGCTTTAACTGTCTAACTGATGGGGAGTATCTTGGAATAATTAGTGTCAAATGTTTTTAAATGCTCCTTTTTTCTTTCTATTAAGACTACAAGTATCAGAGCTTGTCCTGTTTTTCCATTAATTATTTTTCACTTTTAACAATGATGTTTTTGGGGGTGGGGGTTGAAAGTGTTTTTCATGATCAGGTTCATGGTAATCTTTCCTCTTTCATTGTTGCCTTGCTTTGCAGAGTGATAAGGACCACAGCCTATCTACTATTCAGCTTACACATAAACTCATGCCTGTACTATTGGGCATCATCATACCAGGGACTGCGTTCCACCAGTTGGGTCTACGACGGGGAGGGAAACAGGTACTTAGTATGCATGTCTTCTGTTTTGGAACAGGCACGTGCAACAGACTAGGAGCTTTAGAGAGACTGGATACAGCCAAGGCTGAATTAATACCTGACTTTTGACATCCGAGTTCATCGATGAGTCAAAAGCCTAACATTTCCAGTACAGTATCATCATTACCTGATTTATTATATCAGCCCTGCCTACTACTAAGGGCATGTCAACACTAAGAAATTATTTTTAAATAACTCAATTTGAAATAATAACTCCTGAAATAACAAAATCGAAATAGCGGGTCCTTATAGACTAACAGATTTATTGGAGCCTAAGCTTTCATGGGCAAAGACCCACTTCATCAGATGCATGACATATATTTCAAAATAGCATTAGTCTATTTCACAATAACTACTCCCCAATAAATCTGTTATGTCTATAAGGTGCCACAGGACTTCTTGTTGTTCATGCAGTTTCCAAGTTGTCACTTGGTGGCTGTGTCAGAGTAGTTCTAATGGTATGAAACAGATGCTGACTTTTCAGGTGAAGGAAACTGGTTGGAAAGTTGTTCTTTTTTTCCTTTGCAGTTATATTCGCTGTTACTACTGGGCTGTCAAGACTCTGATTACTATTGGAGGTCTGCCTGACCCTCAAACTCTGTTTGAGATAGTCTTCCAGCTTCTGAACTACTTCACTGGGGTCTTTGCTTTCTCTGTTATGATCGGGCAGGTAAATGAATAATCATTCTGTCGTCCCTTCTGCATGATGCAGGACAGGTTCACAGTGTCTGTTATTTTTAATGTAATCTTTCTGAAATCGTGTTTCAGTTTCCTAAATAGCATCCCCTGTGCTTTCCCAGTTTATATATTGAAAAATTCCAATACCATCAGTGTGCATTCTTACATTATGTTAAGGTTTATTTTATTAACATAAACGGTCTCCTGACCTGCTGCATGACACATTTTCTAAGTCTGAGGACGCAGATGCTAAAAAAACCTCTCTCATAATACAAGTGGCACCTCTGTCAATTGGGACTTTCTGATCTGGCAACATTTGTGGTCCAGCAGGACCATGGATGTTCCAGGATCAGAAAGTTCCAGTGTGCTGTGGGGGCAAGGGAATGGGAGCCCAGCGTGACCCAGATGGGTTGCTCAAGAAAGTCGGAAAGCCCAATTGGGTGGGGAAGGGGGGAAGGCAGTGGCAGGGGGGCCAGAAATGACCTCCCCTGGTGTGGCAAAACCCTCATCCGGGACCAGGAAGGTCTAACCTGTACACAATTTATGTTCAGTCTAAGAAGCTAGTTGTTAATAGAGTTTAGGATATTTAACAGCTATGAGTAATGATGCATAAATAGCTATTTCCCCTCATTCTGTTCCTTTCCCTTCTCCAACTCAGATGAGAGATGTCGTTGGTGCTGCTACCGCAGGACAAACTTATTATCGGAGTTGCATGGACAGCACCGTCAAATACATGAATTTCTACAAAATCCCCAAATCCGTTCAAAATCGGGTCAAAACATGGTATGAATACACATGGCATTCACAAGGCATGTTAGGTAAGCATTCGCTGGTTTTAGGATTATTGTCTTTATAAGGCATTAAGTTTACATAGTTCTGATATTTTTACCTTGGTCTATCAACATTATATCAGTGTAAGAGGGCAGCTTACAAAATGTTGTCACCTGTTATCAGTTGTCAATTACAGACGGTCTAGAGCAAGAGATATGTGTCATTCAAGTGGGCATTTCTGAGTTTTGGAAAGCCACTGAAATCATTTTGCAAAACGGGTGACAGAACAACAATAAGCCACTAACTTTAAGGATTTTGTGGGATTGTTTTATTTCCTTTTGCATTTTATTTATTTCACTATATTTCGTCCTTGTTTTACTGATGCTTCGATGCAGTACACTACGCCACTACCAGAATTCAATTTCCTAGTCTGCTTGTGAACAAGCATGATCACAATGCAACCCCCAGGATAGATGAAGTTAGCTGAATTGAGATAATTGGCCAAATTACAGCCTCTTGTGTAGGAAAAACCTGCAATTCCCGCTAACTCATCCGGCTGGGGAAAGGCACAGTCTGACCCTTCATCTTTGCACTGATTTGTTACTGAGCTCCATATTAGAAAGCTAGGTACATTTTTGTAAGTGGCAAGTTCTTTGTTACGTTTTCCCTTTTAACAGACGAATCGGAGTTGATGGCGCAGCTGCCAGACAAGATGCGGCTGGATATTGCTGTTGATGTGAACTATGAGATAGTTAGCAAGGTGGCGCTCTTTCAGGTACTGTCTGCTTTCTCAGGTCATACATTACTTGACTCCTCAGAGGTGCCTGCAAACTCAGTAATTCTGCTTCCTCTTTTGGGTTCAGGGCTGCGACAGGCAGATGATTTTCGACATGTTGAAGAGGCTCAGATCTGTTGTTTACTTACCCAATGACTATGTGTGCAAGAAGGTAACAAGCATTTTCTTTCCCTCGATTCTGTTTAGAGACCTGGCATAACGTGATTTTCTCTGTTCTGGGGAAGAGGTAGGGCCTGATGTGAAAGCTCATTGTTTGAGTGATATGGATTTTGCTTGCCAGTGCATTTGGCAAGGATATACACCAGGCTAAATGAGAGAAGGGACCACATTGTGGTTGCCACTACAACCACCCAGAGGCATAAAGAAACCTTTAGGCTTCCTGGGAAATTTTCCCGGTGCAGAAATAGGGTTGACTTACATTGCAATTTCATGCTTCCCTGCTGTACAGCTTCTTGGTAGGTGTGCACTGAGGGTGTGAAGAGGAGCCAGAGAGTTATGTGGGGGACAAGAGTGGGAGGGGATGGCATGCAAAGTGTTGTGCCTGTTCTGGGCTGTAGAGCAGCCTGTAGCCAGGGGTCGGCAATCCCCGGCACGCGTGCCACAAGTGGCATGCGAGCTGATTTCCCGTAGCATGCTGGGTGGGAGCTTAGCCCCACCTCTCCTTCCCCCTCTACCCCCCCATGCAGCTGGAAGCTTGTACAGTGGTTCCAGCCTCAGCCGCATAGCTGCAGGCTGGAGCACTAACTCCAACTTCCTGCTGGGAGGAGGGTGAGAGAAGCATATGTGTCCCCCTGGGACTGCCCCTGCCCTGCCTGGGTGTGCAGCTTCTGGGAGCTAAGGGGTTAACTATCCCCTTCCTGGCTACAGGCTTCTTGTTTTGGGAGGGGGCAGGGCTGGCTGCTCCCCATGGGCTATGTGTGGGGTCAGGGACCCCCTTCCCCAGTGCCCCTCTGTGCACAGCCCGGCTGGAGCCCCTCCCCACAACTATAGGATTCCTGCTTCAAGAGAGGGCAGAGCTGGGGCTGAGTGATTGGCACACTTGGAATGCTGGAGCCTGGTCTGCTCCCCACGGGCTATGTGCGGGGTTGGGGAGCCCCTTTCCCAGCACCCAGCTGGACTGGAACTTTGCCTGCCCCAGCCCAGTGCTGCTACCCTGCTGGTGAGTACACTGGGAGCACAGGGATGTTGGGGGAGGGGGGAAGAGACAGGGGTTGCATCGAGGGGCATGGAGCAATGCAGGGGATCAGGTTGGTGGGGGATCATAGGGCTGAGGGGAGTGAGGTTGGAGCAGAAAGAACATGTGAGGGGGGATACAATTTTACTTTGCAGAAGCTACACTTTCCTTTACTCGCCACTCCTTTGGCTCCTCCCCCAACTAGCTATTTGGCTGCATTCTCACCTTCTCTGCATTAGCCCCCCAACCCCCTTCCATCCCAAAATCCCTCCCATACCCCCACCCCACCCCCTCTCCTGCTGCCCAACTCCCTTCCAGACCCTGCCCTCCTCACCCCGTCCTGCATCCCTATCCCACTCACTGGCAGCCCTGTCCCACGCATCAAACCCCTCCTTTCTGTTCCACCCCAGAGCCTAAGGGGGTTCATAAAATCCACTAACTCTGGAACCCCAGAAAAGTAAATCTGGCTTATGGAAAGTTCTGAACCTCAGTCCTCCCTGTCCCTTCCCCTCGCCCTATGGGGACTGGAACACCAGAGGAGTGAGTTGTCTCAGCTGGGGACCACATCAGTGAGGGTTGGAGGAATTGTTTTGCTTCTCACGTGTGTAGTCCCCACCTGATTTTTCTGTGGGTCAGTGACTCCCTATCCAAAAAAGGTTTCCCACCCCTGACATAAATAAAGAAAACATTGAAACCTTTTGTGTTGGACATAATATTTAACTTTATTTGAAATGAAGTTTGATCGACTAACATGAGAAAATGAAAACACTTAATTGTTTAATAATTTAAATTAAACCGTTCTCCTCAGCTGCAGCCCTAGCAAAATGGCTCGGGTGTAATTATGTAATTAACAGTGAATTTCCATTAGCAACGGGTAGTCCACAGAAAGGTTTGCATTGACCCAGGTGGTCCACGGGGTGGGTGGTGGAGAGAGCCCCTCCTACCATCCTGGGAGAGCCCAGGGAAGGAGGGTTAAATTTTGGCATGCCACTTCGGAAAGGTTACTGACTCCTGCTGTAGGCAGTCGTACAATGTTGCTGGAAAATAAGGCAGCATCCAGGTTATGCCAGAAGCCACAACAGTCCCCAGAACAGTATAGACACTTTTGGATACTCCTGTGTTTCACCTCCTTTGCTACACTTCCTGAGAGTTCCCTCAAGCAAGGAGAAGATAATCAGGAGCTGATTAAGTTGTGCAAGGGAGTTTCGAAGCAAAAAACGTTCTCTGTATCACTTTTGGTGATAATGATCATATTGTGCAAAGAGTGACCTCTGCTGATTTAAATGGGTGCAGCATTAACACTAATTGAAAAAAGTACAGGGGGAAGGCAGAATAAACAGGACTAAACAACAATCAAAGGAACGAATTTAGAAAAAAAAGGTTGAGAAGCATTTTAACAAAAATACACAGATGATAAAATCTATTCCCCCATTTTGGAACCTCGAGTCTTCTTGTCATGAAAGCTATGAAAAGATCTGTACGAAACAGAACAAAACAATATTAATGGAAGCTACAGAGGGTAGCCAAGTTAGTCTGTACAGGATAAACTTAAAAAAACCCAACAAATAGTCTGGTAGCACTTTAAAGACTAACAAAACATGTGTCATGGCTCCCTTTCCACTCTGGCATGATAAATGCAGAAGTGGGGGCCAGCAAATGTACCCCAAAACCTTATCTACCAGGCTTTTGTATAAAACTTCCCCCCAAAATCTTAAAACCCTAGATTTTGGGAATAAAACTTCCGCTGCCACCACCCAAGTATTGATGTGACAAATAAGGGGAAAGGTCACCTGGGAAATCTTACCCCTAAAGTACAAACCAGGACACCCTATTAACCAATACCAGGTTAATAAAAAGAAAAGAGAAAACTTTTATTATCACCACAATATTCCTGTTGCAAACATAATAACTAGATGGAAGAGTAACAAATAATATACTCATGGAGAAACTCCATGGGCCTAGAACTTAGTTACAAAGAGAAGCCTAACATCTTTTAAAAAGTGCACAGACAGCAGATCTCATACCCAACCCATAAACAATAAAACTTAACGGATTTATCTAAACTTTGCCCTACTTACAGAAAGTGAAGAAAGAATCTTTTCTTGGAGGGAAACATAGCGTCTGCCCCCCTCAATAGCTGGAGAGAACTGCCCCGAACAAAGGAGGGAAAAACCAAAAATTCCTTTGTCCCAGTTTGAAATTCCTACCTACATTCCTATTGGCCACTCCACCTGGCTAGGTAAGGGACACAGTTAACCCCTTAGTCCCCAGGCTGCTGGCTAACCCTCATGATCATGACAACATATAGGTGGTATCATGAGTTTCGTGGGCACTTATTAATGGAGTAATTGAATCATTTCACTTGGAGGATGAGGGACTTTCTATATATTCCATACTTTTTTTTCCCCTCTTTCTGGGCTACCTTGGGGTGAGCAGTGCACAATTTGTTCTAATCTTTATTGCAGGGGGAAATTGGCCGAGAGATGTACATCATTCAAGCTGGACAGGTGCAGGTCCTTGGAGGGCCTGATGGCAAAACTGTGCTTGTGACTCTGAAAGCTGGATCTGTGTTTGGAGAAATAAGGTCAGAGAAAGGATCGTTGGGGAACTGGGAGAAGAAAGCCAGGGGATGAAATTAGAAGGACGTTGGGGAAATAAGGCAGAAGGGCAGAGAAACAAAATTTGGAAATAAGATCTGGGAAAGTGTGTCCATTACTAGGACCTATCTGGTGTTGTAATTTAAAAGGGACACAGGGATCTCTTAATACAAATAAATTCCACTTTTTAATTTTAAACTTTCAGATTGTCATTGTCCCTCTGCCTCTATTTTATGCCAATAAACACAGTATGGACTGATTTAGTTGTCCAATGACAGTTGCAAAGGCCACTCTTCCTTGGGGAAGACAAAAAAGGGAACGAGTGTTTTATATTTGGTCAACAACAACCATCCTGGCTGATAAAACAGCCTGGGTCTGAGTCATTGGCAGTGGTTCTCAGCTGAAAGGATCATTGACCACAATATGGTTGGAAATAGATGAAAACGGGGTTACCAAAGGCCTCCAACAGGGATAGTCATCCTGAATCAATCAGTAAACTATACTGTTGATTTTCAAATAAGTGGAAGATAAATGGAGAAAACTCACTATTCCAACTTGGATCATGCCTTTCCAATACCAACAGAGTGAAAAGAAATCATAGCACGGTTTCTGTTCTAGGCCTTTTGTGACCTTTGTTGATAAGCCTTCAGGGAGGGAATTCATGTGTAGATGCAGAGATCTGTGACTCATTTTGGCAAATATGGATGAGGATACAAGTTTTATATCAAGAACCTTGAAAATTTGCCGATATCCGCATTACATACATGGGTATCTGCAGTTCATTTTTGCAGATATGGATGTGGATTCAGATACAAATTTTGATCCATGCACAGCTCTATTCATATGGGTGAGGATCAGTGAAAGCAACGCCTAGTGAACACAGCTCATTATTATCAAGATGATAATCTATTTATAATGAGTTAGGTTGGCTGTTCAGGTCATCTGATCCCAAAGCAGAAAAAAGACCAGGCGATACAAACATGAAAACGGAATATTTTAGTTTAAAAAATCTATGCATTCCTATTGGCCATGATCTACATATTCTGCAGTCTACTTAAGAAGGGTAGAACTAAAATGCTGACCTGCATATCCTAAATAAAGTGGGTTATTACATTAATATGTCAAGCAGAGTCACTACTATTGTTAATATCCTACACTTGTGCGTAGCTACCCAGAGTGCAATAGTGATTTGTAACACACTGATGGTGAGTACATTTCTGTCTATATTAGCCTGTTTTTTTTAAAGAGCGATATTATAAAATGACTACAATGAAATCGTTTTTATGTAGTGACTTTCATGCCAACGTAACATAAAAATACTTAAAATTTGATGTGTAAAATGCCATGGTTAGCAAAAGCTGAGCTCTGAGTACATTCACTCCTGAAGCAAACTCTGCCATCAAACCGCGTGAAAGCACAGATTTTAAATAATAAAAGCTGTATTGATCCTATATACAATCATTTTAATACTTCTTGCTTTCATTAGCTTGTTGTCAGTGGGAGGTGGAAATCGACGCACGGCAAATGTTGTGGCCCATGGATTTACTAACCTTTTCATCTTGGATAAGAAAGACTTGAATGAAATTTTGGTGCATTATCCAGAATCCCAGAAGCTGCTGCGTAGAAAGGCTAAGTGAGTGACAGGATGCTGCTAAAATGTCATTTATCATCAACATGCAGATGTAGTACAATTTTCAATCTCTTGAAGAATATGTGGTCTTTGGGGTTGCACATTACAGAAATTGCTCTGTAAGCGTTCAAGGAAAATGTTCAATGTTAAGCATGCTAGAGTATAAATAGATTTATTTTTTTGCCTCCGTTACAGCAGTTCTCTAAATGAAACAGACTTGAGAGCCTCACCTGGACTTAGATAGAAATGAAAAATATAGGTGCTATGGGAATTGTTGATGTTTCAGCAAATTCTGCTCTTCCCTCTGAGTTAGCATTGAACTAATGGCTTTCCTACTGGGATTGGTGTTTTTCAGAGGGGATGTTAAACTGAGGCGTAATAGTTTGTGGTCTTTTAAAAACTCCCAGGGTACTTTTCACAAGAAAATAGAATGTATCTGCCTCGATCAAATTGCATTGTAAAAGCCAAACTGTGACACTTGCTGCACTACCATTCAGGAAATGTAGGGATCTCTTTGCTCCCCTCAGCACAGACAACCCAAATCACAAGTAGTAACACAGAGGTTGGGGTGAGCAGCCTCTGCTTCTTGTTTCACACTTACGGTTGGGGAGTGAGCAGAGCCGGCTCCCCAAACCTATGCACTGGCCCGTGCAGCTGATCCAACGTGTCAAGGGGAAGTCATCCGCACCGTGTACAGGATTGGAGCAGATTGTCCCCACCTCTTCTGGGACCAAGAGGGAGGAAGACTTCCAGAATCACATCCTCCTTGGGATTTATAGAGCCCCACATAGTAATATTAAACTGGTGTCCCTGTGCTCAACGGAAGGAGAGGGGGCGACAGTTTTTTAGAGATGTGATATTATCACTTTCAGCAACAAACCAATGAAATATTTTGAAAGCAAATTGTAAACTAAGGTCCTGTCGACTAATACAGTCGATTCAGAAACTGGCAGTACAGACCTGGGGTTGGCAAACGCCTATTAAAGAGCTTCATTACCACTTGAATGGCTCTTTCACGGAGTCAGTGTTCTGCTAATAGGTCTGGCAAGCTTTGTCACATTTCAGTTAACTAGATCCTCGCTGGAGGAAGCAGGGCCACAGAGCAGGGATAGGAAGAGATGGGCTCGTGGACATTAAGGCCTAGTGGTGCCCATAAGAACATAAGAATGACCAAACTGGGTCAGACCAAAAGTCTATCCAGCCCAGTATCCTGTCTGCTGACAGTGGCCAATGCCAGATGCCCCAAAGATAGGGAACACAACAGGTAATCCTCACGTGATCCCTCCCCTGTCATCTACCTCTAGAGAAACAGAGGCTAGGGACACCATTCCTACCCATCCTGGCTAATGGCCATTGATGGACCTAACCTCCATGAATATGGCCTCGAATATGTGGGTGCCCTACACAACTGCGTATTCGGTATATAGAGAAGGATACCTTGCACAGTCTGGTTCCTGTTCAGCTTGTGCGGCAGTATAATTATCCTTCTTTGGGGCTGGTGGAACAATTGAATGCCCTACGTCGTAAGATTCTGACTCCTAGAAATCCCACCCGTAGTGTAAGATGTATTTCTCTTATCAGTTTTGCTGAGGGACATGCTATAAATGTCCTTTCCTAATTTATTGCTGTTTTTCATCTTAGGCCTGTCAGGGTATCATTTATGCTTCAGGAATGGAAATCTCTGAGTAGGGCATCTAGTTTATCACCCTGCCATTGCAGAACAGTTCTCTGTTTACTACCCTAGGCCTGGGGCAGAGCAGCTGGGGTGCTGCCAGGTTGGTCCCGCAGTGCCAAGGGGCGCATCCCCCCCACTCCACCCCAGTCCCCTCATAGCCCCCCCCTTCTGATAGTCTGGCATATCTGATAATCCGGCACCCCCTAGGTCCTAAAGGTGCTGGATTATCGGAAGTCTACTGTAGTTGGTTCCATTATCCTAATGTTCGTACAGCGAGGAAGTTTTTCCCTCAGATTGAAACTAAATCTGCCATGCTGTAGTTTGATGTCATTGCCTCTAGTCCCACCCTCTGTGGCAAGAGAGAACAACCATTCTCTACCTTTTTATGGCTGCCTTTCAAGTCTTTGAAGACCACTAGCATGTCTCCTCTTAATTTCCCCTTTTCCAAACTAAACATTCCTAGTTCCTTTAGCTTTTGCTGATATGACTTTCATTCCATCCCTTTGATTATCTCTGTCACTCACCTCTGGATCTTTTCCAGTTTCTCTACATCCTTTCTATACATTGGTGAACAAAACTGGGCATGGTATTCCAGCTGAGTAACACAGTACTATCCCCTCCCATGACTTGCAGGGCAATCGCATTTGCTTTTTTTGCAACAACATTGCATTGCTGACTCATTTGAGGTTGTGATCCACTACATTTCCCCATTCATTCTTAGCAGTGCTGCTGTCAAGCTGCTGACGCCCCATCCTGTATTGGTGCGCTTTCTCCTACATTTGTCTTTGTTGCATTTCAACAATTTGAACAAAATAATCACGGGGGTTTTTTCGATATTTTCTCAGCTCTTCTTTTCAACAAAGCCTAAGGTTGCGAGAGTGCCTTTAACTGCTGCAAAACGTGAACTGTCTGTGTTAGAAAATCACTCTTAAATTGCCTATCTCTAGAGACAATTAGGGTTTTTTTTTCTTATTTTAGGAAAATGCTGAAAAAAAACAATAAACCCAAAGAAGGAAAAGGCACGTCAAAAGATGTGCTTATCATTCCTCCAAAAGTTGGGACTCCTAGACTCTTTCAAGCTGCTCTGGCAGCTGCAGGAAAGACTGGAGGCAAAGGAAAGCTTGCCCACCTCAGATGGAAATTGAAGGAGCTGAAAGCAATGCAAGATATGCAAGATATGCAGGTAAGGCCAAAGGATTGACAGTTTTGTTCTTTTATTCCCAATGAAACAATCATCTTGCACCATGGTTGATGGAGACTTAACGAAGAGTCCATATTTCTACAGAATAGAGTCCATATTTCAGCTGACTAATAATAAACCACTGGTTGATCCCAATCCAAATGTTAATTTATTCTTTCATTTGCTGCTGGGACTATCTACGGTGGGAATCATAGTGATTATGTGAAGAATGACGTGTTCAGAAGGAAATCAGCAGAGATGACCCAAATATTTCACATGAAGTACAATTAAGTTTGAGAGAAATATGGAATAAATGGAAAAGTGGTCCTCGAAGGATTGAGGAAACCTTTGCAGAAAGGCATCATAATCCAGTGCCAGTGAGCTAATTCATCAACTTGGTGTGTAGCCTAGTAGGAGAACACATTAGTTTTTCACTTGAGGAGATTGTAATTATGTGAAAAAACTAGGTTGCATTATAGTCTGCAGTGGATGTATACTCACATTACACAACCACTGTACTATATAACATTCATAGAGCCGACCCATGTTATGCGAAAGTGACGACAGGTACACAGCCAGACATCCAGCATTCATACGGAAGTCTATCGGTGCAACTTTGTATCCGTATGACTGTAGCAGAAGTCATGTTCCAAAATTCCATAGTGATTCTATCTGCATATGATTTGCTGAATTTAAGAAAGTATAAGTCTTAATATTAATATAATAAAAGGCTCTTCTTTTATTAATTAGTTATACTTGAGTATTATAATCAGTATATTATATGAAATGCATCATAACCAAAAGTGTTTGCTTACTAGTAGTGTTAAGGTATAATAGTAAAGAGGGCCATACAAGTACCTAGAAAGACTCATAGAACAAAGAAATGTATTTCTAATGTCCTTCATAAAAGAATAACAAGGCTTCTTATACTTAAATGTTGTAAGAATGATTAAAGAATAGTTAAAAGCAGCAGAAAATATGGATGCTAACTTATACTACATATTTTGGATAGAAATGAAGAATGAATTCCATAATTAAGGCATTGCATTTAGTCTTTGTTCTTCTCCAGTTGCTGGTCTACGTAAAGCACTTTTGGAGACTGTTGCTGCTTCCAGCTAATTGATGTAAAATGGAGAGGCCTATGTTTTTTAGAGCAGTGTTTCTGAAAGTGGTCTGCAGAAAGCTGCTACCAGGCCGCTCTGGTTTGTTTACTTACTGGCTCTGCAGCCACAGAGCCTCACAGTTCCCATTGGCTGTGGTTTGCCTTAAAGTCTGAGAGTTTTTGATCTCTAGCTGTTTCTTGAGCACATAATTCACCTTCCCCTACTAAAACGAAAAACATGATAGTGGAGTGAAATCTTGATAATAAGTTTGGACACAGTAAAATGTCTTGAAATTCTCTTCTCCCTCTCTGTCAGACATTTTAAATCAGGTTAACAAATACTGTAGTAGTACCAAAAGATTCCAGTCATCGGTTAGGGCCCCATCATGTTTACTTTTTTTTATTTGTGTTCCAGAATTCCAGTTCCACTCCAATTCCACCAAAATCACCAGTCCACTGTCGTTCACCTAATGCCTCCTGCAAATCAGATGACCCAGCTGGTGAGGATATCATCTCAAAGTCTCCAGATAACTCAGTCTTAATTCGCATGAGTCCTATCCCACAAAGCAATGAACAGGTTCTTTCTGTGGAGGTTCCAGACAAGGAAGAAAATAAATGAAAAACAAACACTTGTCCCCTGTCCCTCCTAGAAAGCCACTCCATGAGTTTCAGCTGGACAACTATATCCTATAGAAGCTTTTACTGGTTACCAATTTCTGTGCAATGGCTAGAGGCTTCGCTCACTAAGACAGCTTGGTATGCTCTGCCTTCTTGTGTACTTGCACCACGAGACTGCAGTGGATAAGGCTCTTTGCCATGGGGCCTAGAGTTGTAGAAAACATCTGCACCCTGGAAGTCAACTTTTATTGAATTCCTTTATAAACATTCCCACTAAATACCTGGCCAACCCTCTAGCCTCCCCAGCCAGCCTGACAGTGAGGGAGCCTTACAGTAATGAATATTGGCTTTTTACAGTTCTGAACGGCTAGTGTCTTACTGCATCAAATATCAATGCATCCCCTTTTTAAGGTTGCAGTTTTTTCCCCTTAATGTGACTCATAATTTCCTAAAAACAAACAGAAGAAAAGCTGATTTCTGTCCATTTGATGCAAGGTCGTCTAGATGATGTTGTGTAAGACATGGAAATAACTGAAAAAACAACATGGTTCAAAATAATATTAATGAAAAAATAGGATAACTGATATCAACCCGAAAGACAGGCCTTCTCCCAAGTTCAGAAGACAGACATGCAAACAAACATGGACTTTGTGTCAGTGGTGTGCGTGTCACCATATGAACACAGCTTGGTTTCACACCTATCAACATTTTTAATAACATCTTTGCAATTCTTTTATATTACTTACTTGGATCTCAGTTCCTTTGCCTATAAGGAAGCAGGCTACTGCTTTGCACAATGCTTATTGTAATACTGAGCCGTGCTTGTTGTCTCTTTGGTTCAATGTTCAGCCAATAGAAAGATCTGTGGTCAGGACTCGAGTTGAAAAAAAAATTATTTCTTTGTTCAGTGTCTGAACCAAGAAATTTCATTTGGGTTGAACACAACGTTTCTCTTCCTTTTTGCATAAAGAAAAAAACCCCACGGTTTGCTACGTGGAGCAATTCCAAAATGTATTAAAATGTAATTTCACTCATTCAGCAATTATTCGTGCTTTAATTACTGGTGCAGAGCTCACCTGTTCCAGTATAGAATGACCATGCTGCTAAATAAGTAGGATGGCACTTGTAAGAGCCTCTTTTACAGGAGAAGATGCATATGAAATGATTGATCTTTACCTTAAACCTTCACAATTTATTGTAATGCTTCCAAGAATGGTCCTCAGAGAATATATAGGGCTTCTCTGAGGGGCAGCGATAAATATCAGTGCTGATTAGCAGCATCATGGTTACACTTTCTTAGAGACATCAGCACATTTAAGGAACTCAGATATGTTACAAGTAAAGCTGAAGTCACCACTGCTCTTAACATTGCACATTCTTGTACATTCTTTACAATTTCCAACATTTTAGTGAAAAGTGTATAGTATTTTTTCACTATATGGACATTTAAAAAGTCAAAAGAGGAAATCTGTGCAAAACCTGTAAGTGAAAATGGGGTTTTGATTGCTGGATATATTTTGATATGGTTTATAAGGATAGTTTAAATGAATAATATGCCATCTGCTGCAGTGGCTTTCATATTCTAAAGCATTTTCATTAAACTTTTAGATTATTGTTCAACATGTGTGGATTCATTTCAGGAACAGAAAATGTGTTAAAATTCCTGTTTAGTTTAGCTTTGTCTATTAATTTGCTATACGTCAACAAAACAAATTTATGTGCAAACTTTTACGACAATTTTTTTTTCTCAGACTTAAAATACATGAAGGGAGCAACCCCTAGCTAATGCTACACATATGTCATAGAACTATGACTCTTTATACCATACTTCTTGTGAGCACCCGAAGGGAAAATCTTACCGGGTGCAATCAAGAAATTCTGTGGTAAAATTTACCATAGGCAGTGGTCTCCTACCTTTTAAAGCACAAGATCACTTTTTGAATTTAAGTCAGTCCAGGATCTACCGCAAACACAAATACCCCTGACTCACTCCTTCGCCAAAGTCCTGCCCCACCTCTTTGCTGAGGCCCCACCCTCCTTACTCTGTGAAGATGGGATACAGGAAAGGGGGCCAAAGTGACATCAGCACCCTCCTGCCTCTATCTCCCCCACCCTGCACAACAAACAGTAGGCTCCAAGGGGGCAGCTCTGAGGCTCTGAGCATAAGTAGCAGGCAGTGTGGGGAGGGGCAGTTGACGTGCCGGCACTTGATAGCCTCCCAGCCAAACTAGACAGGATCACTTGTCAGAGGCTCCAAGATCTACCAGTAGATCCTGATCTACTGGTTGGTGACCACCACCATAGAGCCAGCGAGCTCAAGAGTTCACCCAGAATTCTTAAATTTACCTGTCTAGGGGTACGTCTAGAATACAGGCTTTTGTCGACAGAAGTTTTGTCGACAGATACTGTCGACAAAGCTTCTGTCGACAAAGAGTGTCTAGACTACATTCAGTTCTGTCGACAAAGCAAGCTGCTTTGTCGACAAAACCCTGTAGTCTAGACACAACCCTAGATGCGATAACACCTTCTGTCGACAGAACTCTGTTGACAAAAGGTGCTATGCCTCGTAAAATGAGGTTTACCAGCGTTGACAAAACTGCTGAGTTCTGTCGACGTTATGTCGACAGAACTCAGCGGTAGTGTAGACGCAGGTATAGTTTTGTCGACAAAAGTCCATTTTTGTCGACAAAACTCTAGTCTAGACACACCCTAAATAAAATGGACCAGCGGCTGCTCATGACAACCTGTGTTGCTAGGCAAAACTTCAAGGAGGACACCCCATCCTACTTCCTGGAACAGGTTCTCAATCAGAGGGGGCATGTTGGAGGGTGCGTTAAGCCTTCGATTAGTTCTGTGATTATGGGAGAAAAGAGGGGGAGGGAGCATCAGGGTTTCAGTGGAACTCACTCAGGTTTGTCCAGTTTCTGAGTGAGTAGTATTACAATTTGCTGCACGGGA